CAATTGTTGTGAGATATGTACTTCCTAGCATAGAAATGAGACAAAAAAGAACACAAGCAAACACAGATCGTTTACGTGGTTCGATCCAACTGGATCTACGTCCACGGGAGGGAATCAATCAAATATTTCACTAAGGCAAAAGAAATGGAGAATACATAGCTTATACATATAGATGAGCCCTCATTTTCGTTCTATGACCTCCCTCTCAAACGACACCTTGATACAAGGCCTCAAGATGCTCTCCTCCTCTCTAACTCTATAGTTATTCTCTCCTCCTTTGTGGTAGCTTAAGATATCTTCTCCCTTGCTATCCTAAGTCTCACACCCTCTCTATTTATAGAAGCAAGAGAGTGGTAGGTGGAAGGTAGGTGAGAGGTAGGTGGCCGGTAGGTGAGATGTGGTAGGTGGCGGTGTCACATTACAAAATTGTCCTTTTTACCTTAGTTCATTAATTGTGGGTCAAAATAACACGAACTGTTCTCGCGAACAGTTCGTTGTTTTGCGAAGAGTAGCGTCTATCGCGACAGTTTCCTTCCTGATCGTGATAAAGGCTTCGGATGACTCTCCTTGGGTTTCTAAGTCACATTTTTGGTGTTCTTCTTCGGGTTTCTTCGGAATAGAGGAAGGAAAGTGCAAGCAGTAGTTCCTTGCACCAGAAAGAAGAAAAAAGGAGAAGAAAATTGTTCTCCCTTGACTTCTTCTTAGTGGCTTGTAGCAGAAGAGAAATTGAGTTTTATTTCTCTTGTAAGTTTATCTTCTTCGGTGCATCTCGGTGTAGAGAGAAAAGAGCAGAGAGAGAAGAAGAGAGAGCAACGAAGTAAGAGATTCCTCTTGTAAGTCGAGAGATCGATTGGTGTAGTATTCCCAAGTAGTAAAATTCTCTACGACTCTGTGGACGTAGGCAATTGTCGAACTACGTAAGTCTGTGTGTTTTGTTATGTTACTGTTTTCTGGTGTGAATTTTCTCGTTCTATTTCTTCGCTTTGTCAAACTGTTTGATTTATATATATACCACATCAACAGGTGCATAAATATTTCGCAACATTATTAACACCTAGGCATGAATGCGTTGCATGCAACCTTCTCACAGAGCACAAAGAAATTAAGCAAGTCTATTTCAAATTTAATAGTCCTCTGGCTCCCAGCTTAGTATCTGTTTTTATCTTTATTCTTCACTTCTACCCAGTATCTGGAATATTTGAAAGTAACATGCAACCAATTACTCATGTCTATAGCTAAATACTTCGCCACCTGTGCAAATTCAAAGTAAAAAAGCATGTTAGTTTTGACACATAATAATAAGTGTTTGAGTTGTTTTAATTAATGCTAAAAATACAACATTTTAAATTTAAAAAACTGAAATAAACCTTTTCATGCATAAACCTTTTCATGCATAGTTAGGGTGATATGTATGAAAAAATTGAAGTTTAGATGTCAGATATGTAAATACATTAGCTATGAATGGATGTACGTAATCTTCCAATCTATTTGTCGTGTTTTCTCCCTAAGGCAAAAAATTAGCTCGACATCATAACATAAGTCAAGCTTTAACGCGTGAGTAAAATAATGATTTAGTAGAATCATAAGTAACATCACCAATGTAATACCACCCCTAGTTCTCATAAAAAACCCAATTGTATTATGCATAAAACAAAATTGTGAGCAACTAAGATGCTCAGATCTAATGAAAATTTAACCCTGCAATCATAAGAAATGAATATCAAAGAAGATCATGATTTTAATATGCGTTTGTTGTGAAATTTAGGGCTAAGAAAAAATACAAATCCAGAAATCCAGAAGAAGAACACGAAGATTTAACGAGGTTCGGCAAAGATGTCTACATCCTCGGGAGCAGAGCAGCGAATTCACTATTTTAGAGGAGTTACATACCCATAGAGAAACACGTCTATTTATAGATAAACCCACAAATAAATTTACAAACACGCCCTCGCTCTCGCCAACCTACTAATCCAAGAGACACACCTCTTCACACCAAGAGACACTTCTTCATTCCAGGAGACAAACATCTCCAAATCCAATAGACTTCAAATTCCTGGTATATAAGTCATACCTAACAAATCTCCATCTTGGCGAATATCTAGTCCCTTAGGAGAAAATCTCTACCTTGCGAATATCCAGCCCTTTCGGAGAAAAAATTATGGAGTTTCTTACACCAAAGTGGGTTGGGCAACCATGCCAACTAGCAACTGCAAACATTCAACAAGTTCAAGTAATCAAGTAACAACAAGTTCAAGTAACACAAGAACTTGTTGAAAATACCTGGCTTGGTCAACTTTCCTGCTGCATTTTCATCATATGATCCGATAGAGTGAACTCCACATGCAACTGTACTCCCCAACAGTCCAACAGTTTATGAATATTACCATTAGGTTTCACTTGCAATGCCTTCAAAAATTCTTTGTTGAGCCAACAAATTTTTCACCCTTATTTGTCACAATCTGAAGTTTCTTGTTTCATCGAACTTCATTATCTCGAATTTTACACCAGACATTGTCATTTGAAATTCATCCTGCTATAAACTTTTCTTGTCTTGTATTGAAACAAAACACACCACAAATAAATTTAAATAAACCTGAAATTTCCTCTATCAATTGTAGCAATTTTCTCGCAGTTTTCTGTGATTCGTGAATCAAATTTTTCATACGAAACACATTTCCTGTTTGCACAAAAATTTGACTGAAATACTGGAGACACCAGCCAGACTTCACCTGTCACAGTTTCTTCTGCGACAAACCTGCGAACAATCTGCGAAATTTGTGAACTCCACCTGCCGCAATCTGTCCTGCGACAAAATTACTAACTCTGTTGATTGAACACCATCTGTCGCAACTCCTCGCGCGACAAACTTGCGAACTCCGCTGGCGAACACCTTCGTCGCAACACCGGAAGATTCTCTATTCGCAAAACGAGGCTCCTATTCGTGCCAACACCTCGGCTAAACTGTTGTCCCGCGAGCGAAACCCTTCGCGAAATACCTCCGCGAAACTATTGTTTGAAAATAATCGCGCCTGCTCGTTTTGCATGCACCCTGCCGAACTCCAACTGTCGCAAACTCCATCTGTTGCAACACATCCTACAACAAAAAAGGAATATTCTTCCTGGCCGAGCACCACCTGTCTCCATTCCTTCTCGCTGCAGTGCTCTCGCGCGCTACTTCAGCAAAATAATTTGCTTCCAGGATCCTTCCTTGACCCTCCAGTACAGCATACAGCACAGCTCGGTCGCGAACTGGGAAGCACTCCGATCGCCAACTTCCTCTGCGTTGGGGAAGAACCCCTGGCCCGTGATTCGCCTCTGATCTCAAAATCCAATCTTTCTCTGCTCATCCAGCGCATGTGGTCAGGTATTCTTCTTCTTCTTCTTCCTTCATCTGAAACGATGAAGATGATAAAAAGGGGGACAGAATTCTGATGTATTTACACATGGAACATCTAAACTTTCATATTTACTTAATAGTTTTTACTGTAATAACTTCTTTGCTTTTCTTAGTTGCAGAATGTTTTATAACTTGTTTCTTGCTTAGGAGTTGTACTTATGAAATTGTTTGTTAAAAACTGTTCTTTTGATTCTTTTCATTTGGCTGTTATTGGTGGTATCGGCATCAAATAATCAGAATGATCGATGAGATTGGTCTTCATAGATTGAAAGTTTCAGCATTTCTGCTCTTGTTGTTGTTTTTCCTTTTTTATTTAAATGAGTTTAGTGAACTTCTCTTTAATTTTTTTTATATTGGATAAATAAAAGATTTAGTTTAAAACATACGGAAACTGAGATTTAATAAGATAGCAGGACTTATGTGGCTAACATTTAGCATATATAAAGGCTAAATCGTTTCCATGTTCCATTTAAATGATTCTTAAAAGAACTGTAATTTTTTACCTTGCTTGCAATAAAATCTAATTTCATTGAAATTTCACTAACAAATCTGTGTTTTTTGTTATTAAAGCTGCTTGATGCAAGATGGTGATGGCCGCAGTTGTAGGTCTGGCTGCCGGAAAAAGGTTTCCAAGAAGCTCTTTTTATTCCTCAGATTTTGCAGAAAAAAACATTTTTTCTGATCATAAAACTGTTCGGCCATCAACAACTTCAAATATAGCCATTATATTTGCTCAAAAGTCATCAAATTTTTGCACGGAAGCTTCAGCACACAGACAATCAAAACCCATCAAAGCTCTTATGACACATGTCGATACTTACGCCCCCTCCGCCGCTCATAACTCGTTCGACATCTCCGGCGGCGGTGCCGTCGAGGATCACGGCGGTGACATCGAATCTTCCCTCGAAGCCCTAATCTTGTTGCAGAAATCCATGTTGGAGAAGCAATGGGAGCTCTCATTCCGACATGTGAGGAGTGCTGCAACTAGTACTGAGAGGAAGGCGGGGGTTGCTCCATCTGGGATCTCGGCGGAGCAACGGAGAGCGGAGAGGAGGAGGAGGAAGTTTACCCATCAGAATGCTTCTGAAGAACTTATGAACAAAGGGGAGAAGCTTTCTTCTATTGTTAGTGCTGAGTTTCAGCAGAATGGTTTAAGAGGTTATGTGAGGGGTAATCCAAGTGAAGCTCTGCTCAGACATTCAGAGGTAGTTCATTTATCCAAAAAGATTAAAGCTGGTCTTTTGTTGGAGGAGCAGAAAGTAAAGTAAGCATCTTTTCTTATTTAGAGGAGACTGGTTTTGATTCATAGTTATCTTGGCAAATCTGGTGTTTTAGTTCGTTTGGTATAAGCTTAATGACTAAGATAGGCCATCAAGCTTATTTAGTAATTTTTTTTGGAAGCTTTTCATGCATGAATGCTGCCCAATTCTTATTTATTTACATATCTATCACTAAACTTCTATTTTTAAATACATGACATGTACCCATATTTGAAAATGAGCATTTCAAATTTCATAAATTAATATAGCAGTATTTTTGATGTGATATGAAAGATTCGAGTGTTATAAGTGTAAATAGTAAAGTTCAAGTTTTAGGTATGTACATACATGGGGATTGGGCGGTATATATTTAAATGCCCCCCCTCACCCCTTTTGTTTGTGAGGGCATTCACATAATTAGTACCACCACACAATTCTTAAACATTAACATATCTAACATCTAATTTTCATATTTCCATGCATAACACTCAAATCCTTAACATTTTGTAAAAAAACATTACTATTAATAACTTTTTAAGAGTAAAATTTGTATTTTCATTCATAGTTTTATAACACCAAAGAGTTATAGATGTAGATATCAAAGTTCAGGGGTTAGATATGTACCATTACAAAACCGTTGAAATGGCTCTTCGGTTAGTTCTTCTCCTTGGTTTTCTTCTTTGGGTGGCTCTTAGGTAGAGGGAGAGAGAGAGAGAGAGAGATGAGAGAATATACAGTAAAAATCTGGTTCTTTATAAGCAAGAGGATATATATGTAAAGTGAAAAGTTACATGACTGCCTCGACTTTTATGGGAATGTAACATGATAATTTAGGCATATAGGAAATAGAGGAGCTTATGGTTCGGTACCCTTTCATTCAATAGACGGGGAAATGTACACAATCCTTGGTTCGGACCGGGCACATTGTGTCGATTCTGTCGAGTTGGGTCAGTTGGACGGCCCTAATAGACCTTAGGTCTTCCAGACTTTGGTCGGTTGTTCGAACTTCATTCGGCCGGCTTGAGTCAGTCGGTTGGTTGTCTCGGCCTGATTGTTGACTCTTGGATAGGAAACTCATGTTGTTGGTGTAGAAATAAGCTGTCGAGGGTAGAGGGTGAAGCACCGAAATCGAACTGGTAGCCTTCCCCATTTGACAAGTGATTCATTTAGAAGGCTCAATGAATGTTTTTTGATTGGAGGCTCATGTGAGGCGCTTGATGATATTTAAATGAAAGTTTGATTGGTTTCTTCCTTCGGTTAAATAAGTCTTGATTTTTTACTCTGATGACCTTGTTCAGTAAGCCCGAATCCTGTTTGGACAGAGTTGTAGCTGGTCAAAAGAATCTTTTGGTCTTCTACTGACTTGATTCCTGCTTCTTCTGATGGGTCATCCTTGACCGTACTTTTAGCTTATAGCTCATTAAATTTCCTCAAGGTTCCTGTCGATTTATTTCTAACGTACCAGAATGAAGTGATGGCATTGCAAAATCCTTGACTATTGAATAAGAAAATAAAGTTGGAGAGTTAAACTGAACAAGCAGGATCCCTAGTTCAACATACATGACAATGAAATATAGGCAACAAAAACAAGCAAGACAATATATGCAATGTTTCCGTGCTCATGGAGGTTTTTTGGTTGATAGATTAATGATATAACATGCATATGACTAACCATTCATTGAATATTTTTAAACTTTTATGCCAAAACATTCTCCTCTGTAAAATTTTGTAAAATCATACCTCATCAACCGCTCAAAATTGAAATATAGGAACAAAAATTAAAATAAATTTAGTGGGGATTTTTTTTAAATTTTAAATCTTCTTTTTTAAATGGTTAAAACAAATTCATTCTAGGGAAATTTTAAAAACAGTTTGAATAATTTCTAAAAATAAAATAATAGTCTCTATTTTTCTCCTAACACTTTAAATAGCCATTCTGGGGCTTTAGGAGATGACAATTTTACTTCCAATGCTAAATTTTCCTCTAAAGATAAAAAATATATATTGAAAGTAGTAAATAAAGAGTGAACGTTGAGGCTTCTTTGATAGAGGGTAGTATTCTATTGATTATATTTTTCAGATTTGAGGTCATGATTTGTGTTTCCAACCTTCTATTAAAAAGTTGCCTATTATCCCATGTGTATGAATTTATTACAGGCCCATGCAGGGAGATAGAAGAAAAAACAAGTCATCAAAATGATAGTGATGCAAGTTTAGTGTTGTATAAGACATATAATAATATTTTCAAAGAAAAAACCCCATAATAAATGATTTAATAAAATTTCGTCATATTTTACTGAATTTGTAACTGCTGGTTTTCAACCCTAAATCTTAAATCATTACCTAGTGAAAATAGATCAACCAATCTAAATTTAAATTTACAAATGTAAATGTTTCACTAAAATTTTTATTTTGTCGACAGGAGTTTCCTATCCCGATATCGATAGTCAATAACAAGAATAGTATTGTCGACTAGGTCAAGTTTGACCAACCTAAAGAACATCGAAGGTCGGCCAATTACCCTATTCAGTATAGGTCCTAATGTACTGTGACTGACTAGGCTTGGCCGACAAAGTCAGAGGAGGACTAATGTTATCCGTTGATTGAATAATATAGAAAAAAATGATTTATTCCACAACAAAAACAGTTGAAAAATAATGAAAATCCATCAAAAAATAAGTATTTTAGTAGTATCTTTATCGACAACATTCCAGTGCCAAATATCGCTATTAGAATACCAATTCATGAATAAAATGTTACATTCTTTTTTCAAATTACTTTTCATTACTGTACATTTCTATATGTCTCTCATTCTCTCTTTCTTGTCTTATGTCATATTTTTTTTAATGAAAATTAAGATGAATTGATTGTTGCTTAGAGTTGAAATTAATATACTAAAGCATGAAGTCATCACAAGAAATTACCAGCTAGGTAGTATGCCAACAACTTATTAATTGACATTTTTGGTGGGTTTCTAATAAGCTTGGCATCCAAAAGTATTATCTTCAATTAAATCGATAAAGCTTCCTCCATGTTCTCAAGATGAATTATTTCCTTCACTTTTCAATGATAAACCAACTAGAAACCTCCAAAAAAAAAAAAAAAAGATCTCTTCATTACATCAGGGAACTTTTAGCTGGACTTATAATAAAACACAACAATACATACTACAATAACATTGTATACAATTTCACAGGTAAAGTTTTTGACAAAATAAATTCTTAAAACACAATCTACGTTGTTTAGCAATTTTAAATTACACAATTCAAATGACAACAATTTTATGAAAAAGAGTTTCAATTAAAATTCTTAAAACATACAAAAAAGATAAACTAAAAAGAACTCAGAATGCAATGCAATATATAAACATTAATATAATCTAACAAACCTAAGCTATTATTCTTCTACTACCTCTTCGTCTTTCTCCTCCTTCACCACTTGTATAAGTTTTATATCTCATTATTATTGTGGACATTACAGAAGGATTTACCTTGGTGTATGCTTTCGCTGATGACATCCTTTTTGTGGATAAGACTAGAGAAAAAAATTCAAGATAAACTTGAATTACAGAACTCTACATTATAATCTAAAGGCCTTCATTTGAGGCTGATTCTGGTAAGACCCCTTTTTTAACTTAGCCCTTCATTTTCTAAAGAAGGCGATTAACCCGACAACAATTGTAATGGCCAGAGAAGAGAACTTTGAAATGCATACCTTGATAGCCGATATAACATCTGAATACAAGAAAAATAATTTTATTAGTAGTAGATTTAGTGTTAGAGTTGTAACAATAGGTGATCAATTCATCAAAAGAAGTGAGCGTTCTAGATATCTTCGGTCTATTGTTCAAAGTGATGGTGATATTGATGGGATATTATTAGTTGAATTCAAGTTGGATGGTTGAAATGGAGGAATGCATTAGGCCTATTGTGTGATAGAAAAGATCCACTTAACTTAAAGAAAAATTTAATAAGATGACAGTGAGACCTGCAATGCTTTATGGGGCTGAATGTTGGCCTAAAAGAGAAGCATAAAACTAACTTTAAGTATTGCTGAGATGAGAATGCTTACATGGATAAGTGGCTTGATTCTAAGAGACAAAATGCAAAATGAATGTATATGTGAAAAGGTTGGTGTAGCTCTAGTGACAAACAAAATTAAAACAAAAGTCTACATCTATAACGAAAATAACAACCTACATTAGAAAAGCTAAGAACATCCTAAATAGAGGAGGCAACAAAAATCTCGAAGACACAATGATCAGAAGAGGAGTGGATTGTAATCTTTTCAAAAATTTGAAAATTTGTTCTGCAGATCGAAAGCAGGCAGATGCGTGCATGAGCATAAGGACACACACGCACATGTACAAAAATGCCAACGTACGTGCACAGAAAAAATGATCTTAATTTATTAGATTTAACTGGAAATGTGACACTTAATAGGACACCGTGGAGAAAAAGGATTCATTTAGCTGATCCCATTTTGTGGGACAATGGCTTGTTTGTGTTGTTGTGTTATTATCAACATAGCATTGCCATCTTAAACTATAATGATATCATTCTAAATTCCATGTCTTAATTCACTAAATGCAACAACCATCTTTCATAATAACTTATCATTAGTATCCACTCAATTATTTTTTTTCAAATCTCTTAGGCTCATTTACACCATCATGCATGTGCATATATGAGTGAGTTCATATATGCACACAGTTACACAATCTGCTCACCTCTACACTCACTGTTGCATTCTTGATTGAATTTGTACAAACCTACTGATATCATCATATTCTTAAACACATAATTTACTCGGTTGATTATATAGACATTCATATGCACTCGAATTCTCAAATGTGCGTCTAGATGACTATTGTTGTCTGATCATCATTATTCTTGCCACCAAAACACCATAATATGACCACCGCCGACATCAGACCCAGCTGCCCTGCCACTATTGTTGTCTTCACTGTCATCTTCAGACCATGGCTTTCTAACCACCGTTTCTCTTGACAACAACACTATCAT